AGACATCCAAAATATATAACAGACTTAATTTCTTCAGAAGAACATTAAAGGAAAACTCTACTTTATATTAAACAAACAAACAGGTATAGAGTGAAACTGTTGAGCTTTACCATTTTTGAACCCATTCAGCTGTTCTCATGGTTTGGCGGGAGCGTTATTAGCTTAGCGTAGCATAGATCATTAAATCAGATTAGACCATTAGCATCTTTTAAAAAAAGACCAGAGTTTCGATAATTTTTCTATTTAAAGTAGGACACTTCTGTAGTTACATCATGTACTGAGACCAACAAAACGCCAATAAAAAGTTGCTCTTTTCTATGTGGATATGGCTAGGAACTACACTCTCATTCTGGTATAAAATCAAGGAATTTTGCTGCTCTACCATCGCTGCAGCAAGCGCAATGCATTACACAGCACCTGAAAATAGTATGCCATTAAATGGCAGCAAAGTTCCTTGATTATTAAGGCGTGATGAGAGTATAGAGATATTAAAATATAAAATAGCAACATTTAATTTTCCGTTTTTCTTAGAAAAATTGTGATGTTAATTTAACCCTTGTGTATTGTTCAATTTGACTCCACTTTTTGTATTTTAGGGGCTGTTTTTGCCCCATTGACTTCCATTATAAATGACATTTTTTTGATAGCAAAGTCATGACAGCATGCAATCATGCATTCTCGATTGTTGGTTTTCCGTATTGGAAAGAGGTCAGATTTGTCATTTGTATTATTGATCATCAGTTGGCAGTGTTAACCCTTAATATAAGCCTGTGCAAAAAAATAAAAAATAAAATTTAAAAAAAAAACGTTTCTAGCTATATGGAGTATTACAGCAAAATATAGTGTGCATGCATAAATACACTTACTATGTTCCAAGAGCTGAGGCGCTTATTGTTTTATTTTCTCAAACATATCATGGAAAATGAACAAAGGTCCCTTATACTCTTACACACACTATAATCTATATAAAAGGCCAGCTTTTTTTTACAATAACTGATGATCAGCTATAAAAATAATAATAAAGAAAGTAAAAAAGGTAAAAACAATATAAATTGTACCTCTTTCCACAACAATAAAGAATGCATGATTATATGGTGCTTTGGCTCAGAAAATGTCATTATATTGAATCCATGGGGAAAAACAGCCACAAACATAACAAATGGATGAGTGTATTTTCTGGTTAACAACTCTCTTTATTAGGACACTCCACTATTATGGCAAGTCGCGTCTCAGTAAACATTAGTTTCCCCTTCACTTCCGCTCAGCTCATCTTCTTCCTTCAACCCCCACAGCCAACCACAGAACACCTCTTCCTCTCTCGCTCCCTGGGTCTCTCTATTGAACCATTTTTTATAATTGAGGGATTTCCATACAAGGACTCAAAAGGCGGGCGGTAATGTGGTTGTTAAACCTCACATTGCCACATGTTGAATGTGTAAAAAATTTCAAAGCATTTTCCCAAAATATGTCAAAATAAAATTTGTTACCAAAAATTATTCCATTTGCTAAAACGCAGAGAAATGTGTGTCCAAATTAGGCCTCAAACTCACCCCAGAGTAGTTGAAAACATCCCTAATGGCACACAAGGGTTAAAGAGTTTAAGCTGAAACTGTGGTCTATGAACATTCATAAAATCCAAGTCAATGGTTAGCAGCACTTTCAGAGGCCCCCCCAAAAATAGCCAAAACAAAAATAATACTTGTGGCTACTGACCATACCAGATCTTATGAGAACATAATCAGTCTAAGAACTACAGTGCACTGAGAAAGTATTCATAGCCCTTCACTTTTTCCAAGTTTTATTATGTTACAGCCTTATTCCAAAATGAATTAATCTCATTTACTTCCTCATAATTCTACACACAATACCCCATAATGACAATGTGAACAAAGATTTTTTTAATTGTTGCAAATTTATTAAAAATAAAAAAGCTGAAAAATCACATGTACATAAGTATACACAGCCTTTGCTCAATACTTTGTTGAAGCACCTTTGACAGCAATTACAGCCTCTTTTTCAATATGATGCCACAAGCTTGGCACACGTGCCTTTGGAAATTATTGCTCATTTCTCTTTGCAGTACCTCTCAAGCTCAGGTTGGATGAGAAGCGAAGGTGTACAGCCATTTTCAGATCTCTTCAGAGATGTTCAATAGGATTTAGTTCTGGGCTCTGTCTGTGACACTCAAGTACATTCACAGAGTTGTTGTGAAGCCACTTCATTGATATCTTGGCGGTGTCCTGCTGGAAGATGAACCGTCACCCCAGTCTGAGGTCAAGAGCACTCTGAAGCAGGTTTTAATTCAGGATGTCTCTGTACATTGCTGCATTCATCTTTCACGCTATCCTGACTAGTCTTCCAGTTTCTGCTGCTGAAAATCATCCCCACAGCATGCTGTCACCACCATGCTTCACTGTAGGGATGGTATTAGCCTGGTGATGAGCGCTGCCTGGTTTTCTCCAAATGTAACACCTGGCATTCACTCCAAAGCTTTCAATTTTAGTCTCATTAGACCAGAGAAGACCAGGCCTGATTGGTGAATTGCCGCACAGATGGTTGTCCTTCTGTTAGGCTCTCCTCTCTCCACAGTTGAATGCTGGAGCTCAGACAGAGTGACCATCGGGTTATTGATCACCTCCCTGACTAAGGCCCTTCTCCCCCGATGACTCAGCTTAGATAGCCGGTCAGCTCTAGGAAGAGTCCTTGTGGTTCCAAACATCTTCCACTTAAGCACAATAGAGGCCACTGTGCTCACTGGAACTTTCAAAGCAGCAGAAATGTTTTGTAACCTTCCCCAACCTTGTGCCTCAAAACAGTCCTGTCTAGGAGGTCTACAGACAATTCCTTTGTCTTCATGCTTGGTTTGTGCTTCGACATGCACTGTCAACCCTGGGACCTTATATAGACAGGTGTATGCCTTTTCAAATCATGTCCAATCAACTGATTTTGCCGCAGGTGAACTTCAGTAAAGGTGCTGAAACATCTCAAGAATGATCAGTGGAAACAGGGGCTGTTTCTCAATTCCAAGAATGCAGAGAACGAACTTGCGTTCCTGTGAAGACCGGTCTTGCCAGGTGTCCTCGGAAGAACGAACTCGGGAGATCACCAGGGCAGAAAATGCTTCCTGTGAGGAATGAGATGCATCGTTCTTCCCGATGGTCACATGACCTTCATGTGTTTTTAATAGAATATTATTTAAACATTGCAGCATTCATACAAGGATTTTTTGTTTTTCCCGTTTTTAAAATATATACTGTGCATAAAAACAAATATTCTCTGCACATTAGAAATAAAATCGATTTTTATATGAATTTCAGCAAACAAACACCCTTAATGTGTTTATTACTTTATTAAGATGTTCATGGAGATGTTTATATTCACCTTTTCATTTAGGGAAAGTCCTGAGGGAAATAAGGGAAATCTCTGAACTTTAATAATAAATCTAAATAAAACGCAGCGCTTTCCACCTCCAGTCGCAACGACTTCTGGGATTCCTAGAGCAAGTTCGGTGCTCAAGTCTCCATCAGTGCGTCCTCAATATCAAGAACACATCTGGGAAGTTTCATGCGTTCTCTGTTCTTGCTGTCTTGAGTATTGAAACTGAACTTTGGCAGCTGATGATGACATTACAAGAGAACACGCAAGACCGCTGAAGAACGCATATTGAGAAACAGCCAGAATGTACCTGAGCTCAATTTAGAGCCTCACGGCAAAGGCTGTGAGTACTTCTGTACATGTGATTTTCAGCTTTTTTATTTTTAATTTGCAACAATTAAAAAAAAAAAAAAATTCACATTGTCATTATCGTGTATTGTGTGTAGAATTTTGAGGAAATAAATTAATTTAATCCACCTTGGAATAAGGCTCTAACATAAAAAAATGTGGAAAAAGTGAAGTACTATGAATACTTTCCGGATGCACTGTATGTTCAATTTCATGCACAAACCACCTCGTCAGAGCCACATTTAAGAATTTAGTGGAAACTAGTGTTCTTCTTTAGTGTTCAACTGAAGAATAAAAAATGTGATAAAGCTATTTAACGTACAAGTAATTTCTATTGTCAAACAGCTAAAGAAAAGGAAGAAATTTTCAACTTAACAGTCTAGCAACTACAAGAAAGAACGTTGAGGGAAAGCCAGTATTAAAACTACCTTATTCATGACGGGTCTGCAAGAACAACAAATGCAGAAACCAACTTTAATGTTTCTATAATGAAATACACATAGAAAAGACTTTTAAAAAGACTTCACAAGAATATAATTATCAAACACTGCACTATGCATAAAAGATTCCTTTAAATCAAAATAAAAACGTACAAATACTCTAGTCTGTCCTGTAAAGTTTTTGGCAGCAAATCCCTTTAGAGAAAGCTGTAGATCCATTTACTAGTTCAGATGGGCAAAATGGGTCTGTAAAAATATCCAAGCTGCCAATTTCACAGGTCATAAGTAGTCTAGGGTGAGCAAAAGACTAACCGTGATTATCCCACACTCATTTCTTTTGCCAGAAAATGATAATTAGAAATATGTTGGTTAAGAATTAGGTTGCAGCAGTCACATTTAAAGGAAAGGGAAAGTGCTTAGGTGAAGATCTACTATAATGTGCTTGCATTAATTGTACACGCGAGCACACAGACACACACACACACAAACACACACACTCACTCACTCACTCACACACACATACAGTCACTCACTCACACACACACTCTCTCACACTCACTCTCACTCTCACTCTCACACACACACACACACACACACACACACACACACACACACACACACACACACACACACACACACACACACACACACACACACTCTTCAAATGTCTTTTGGGTCAGTGGACTTCAAACATTTGAAGTCTGTAAATGCTACATGATAAAGTGTTCTTTTTCTTCTATTGCTAATTACTCTGTGGACAGTGATGTGTACAGTTGAAGTTCTTCTCATGTTCAGGAAATAATATTAAACCAATATTTTTGGTAATTTGTTCATGAGAAGTAAAAAAAAAAAAACTTTTTTTTTTTTTTTTTTTTTTAAATCAGGGCTTAAACCTCCAGGCCTTGGCTTGTAAAGTAGTCTTCCAGTTCTGTAAGCCTCTCGATAAGCATTATGTCCAAGTCAGCATCATCCTGTCTCCCTCTACGAGGTCTTCCTCGTGGCCCCTTCACACGCAGAGGGCCCAGGTTAGTTTTGGCCTTGCGTTTCCGAGGTTGTGTGAAATCTGGAAAGTCTAGTACTCGCTTCCGTTTCTGATGCCCGATGCACACCAGAGAGCCGTTCTTCTCTTTTGGTTCTTCAAATATGGTCTCCAAGCTTCTGTATAAATGCAAGTAAGACTGTTGTCTTCAGAAAAACACAGAACTGATTCATTATTGAATTTAAAAAAATGCAAAAACAAACCTGTTAGGGATTGGTGACTTGTAATTCTTGTTGGTATAAATCTCCTCCAAACTGAACTCCTTTTTCTTCAGCCTAAAAAAAAAAACATCAACAAGTACATTTTAGAGTTTGAGATTGACAATATTTAGTAATTTATATATATATATATATATATATATATATATATATATATATATATATATAGTTTTTTTTTGTTGTTGCTTTTTTTGTTTTTTTTTTCAAAATAAGATATTTGGGATGCCTGGTGGTCAATTCTTTCAATTAAAAAAAAAAAAAAAAAAAAAAATATATATATATATATATATATATATATATATATATATATATATATATATATATCAAATACTTATGCACTATTCAATGCCATTTTGTAGAATAAAGTGTGAGTAGTGCGTTTACACTGAAAACTCTAAAAATACTAAGTGCACTTTAATTACCCAGATGATGCACTTATTCAACCAGTAAAATGAAGCGTGTAATGATGGATACTTCACACACTCAACGACTGCAGGTTTGCTCATGAAGTGGAAGGGGCGGAGCTATCAGGGGCACATGTTGGGTAACCATTTATTTTGGTTGGTGAAAGCAAAATTCTCTTACAAGACTGATTATAGCGCCTTCCGATGATGAATGTGGTTATACTTATGGCAGGTATTATTTGATAGTTTGGTCAAATTGGTTCTAAAATGGCTGAAACCCTCAAGAAGCATGTTGTCTACAGAAATTCAAAGAGCTTAGAATCACCAAGAGGTGACACTCAATAAAACATTCCATTGCAACAGCAGTGCCCAGGAACACCCCGTGATTCCACCATTTTGGAGTGAAAGCGATCGGCCGTCCATTGAATGTTATTGCTGTCGCGATGGCAAGCTTCACGGAACCGCAGAAGGCCATGGCGAGACCGCAGTATAAACTCGCACGTTTTCAACTTCAGCCAACATTCCAACATAAGCGCGCATGCTCTAACCAAATGAAAATGGAAGATACGTCTCTATAGCAACCTCTCGCAACACAACCTCTCCAATGCGGCGCCTCGCGATATTTGCAAACAAGTTATATGAATCATATTTATTATCATTTCAAAGCAATAGAGGAACGCCGCCAAACGTAGCGAAGAGTAATGATTTTCTCCAATAGTTTACTTGAGTAAAAGTACACATTTTTAAATGTACTCAAAAAGTACAAGCTACCCAACAATTTTACTCAAGTAAGTGTAATTCGTTTCTACCCATCACTGTGTGCAAGATGTAACTTAGTGTCCCTTTAAGTCACAAAAAGGATACATTTTAACTTGCGCACTGCTGGTGCAACTGACCCTGGATATCAAATAAGATGCCTTTTGCTAAACCCACATAAAATAATATAGCATTGCATATGTTCAAAAAAACTATTTATTCGTAAAAACTAGAGGAGTTGACTTACCTCTTTGGTTTGGGGAGTCCCATTGGAGTAAGGTTGTTATCTGGTTTGGGAACCGTCTTACGAATACGGATTTGGGAGACCCTTTTTGAACGCTGACCTCCTTGAGCTTCAGCATTAGCTTCGTAAAGTTCCACCTAGAAGCAAGATGATATCCGCGTCTAAATAAATTCATCATCTGCATTCGAATCATTTGCACACATGGTTGTTAAGTTAAAATACCTGGTTCATTTCTCTGGATACCCCCCTATTGTGCAAACCAGGGTATTTGACATTTGCACTGACGATAGCAAAAGTAGGCACGGATTCAGTGGAGGATACATCCAATCGTGCTGACTTGGGGCTGATGCTGTGTCGTGAGGGATGATCCAGAATCCTTTCTGGCGTGAGATGAATTTTTGACAGAAGACACACTGCCTTCCTACAGTGCAGTAAAGAAGTAAAGCTTTCAGAAAGCAGCAGGTGATTGCAAATAGGACACTAGTCAACATCAACATGATTAGATGATCATGCTTAGAAGGGTAGATTACTGTGGTTTGTAAATACTGGATTGGCTTCATGCTTAAAATTGTAATGCTGGTGACTGAATGAACTCATTTGAATAGGCAGATTTGTTTTATTGGAAAATTTGTATTTGTCTATGATGATTTCTTTGTTGGCATAATACATAGGGCCTGTTTACACGTGGTCACTTAATGTTTTTTTTTTTTATCGGATAGCTATCTGATTTGTGAAAAGGGTTCCATTTACTGTACATCTGACCACATAAATGCGTCTGCACTAAAACGAATATGATTCTGATCTTCAAATCCCACCGTAAATGCTAACTTATTTAGGTTACATTGACTAAAGCATGACATACACATGCTGTTTTATACGTGCATGTAATTATTCACATTTGTAAATGGTTTACATTGATTTACAGTGCATCTGGAAAGTTTTTATAGCGCTTCACTTTTTCCACACTTTATGTTAGAGTCTTATTCCAAAATGGATTGAATGAATTTATTTTCTTTTAATTCTACACACAATACCCCATAATGACAATGTGAAAAAATACTTTTTTAAAACTGTAGCAAATTTATTACAAATAAAAAACCTAAAAAAATATTTTAAAAAATTAAAAAGATCACATGTACAGAAGTATTCACAGCCTTTGCCGTGAAGCTCTTAATTGAGCTCAGGTACATTCTGTTTCCACTGATCATTCTTGAGATGTTTCAGTGGCTTAATTGGAGTTCACCTGTGGTAAATTCAGTTGATTGGACATGATTTGAAAAGGCATACACCTGTCTATATAAGGTCCCAGAGTTGACAGTGGATGTCAAAGCACAAATCAAGCAAGAAGACAAAGGAATTGTCTGTAGACCTCCAAGACAGGATTGTCTCGAGGCACAAGGAAGGGCAAGGTTAAAAATTATGCTGCTCTGAAAGTTCCAGTGAGCACGGTGACCACCAGAACTCTTCCCAGAGCTGGCCGGCCATCTAAACTGAGTGATCGGGAGAAAATGGCCTTAGTCAGGGAGGTGATCAATAACCCGATGGTCACTCTGAGCTCCAGCGTTCTTCTGTGGAGAGAGGAGAACCTTACAGAAGGACAACCATCTGTGCAGCAATCCACCAATCAGGCCTGTATAGTAGATTGGCAAGACTGAAGCCACTTCCTGTCTAGAATTTGCCAAAGGCAATTCAGACCATAAGAAACAAAACTTCCTGGTCTGATTAGACTGAAATGAAACTCTTTGGAGTGAATGCCAGGTGTTACATTTGGAGAAAATCAGGCACCGCTCATTACCAGGTTAATACCATCCCTACAGTGAAGCATTGTGGTGCTGTGGGGATGATTTTCCAGGAACTAGAAGATTAGTCAGAATGGAGAGAAAGGTTTTCATTCAGGATGTCTTTGTACATTGCTGCAGAGTGCTCTTGACACACCGCCAGAATATAAATGGAGTGGCTTCACAACAACTTGGTGAATGTTCTTGAGTGGCACAGAGCCCAGACCTAAATCCTATTAAACATCTCTGAAGAGATCTGAAAATGGCTATACACTATCACTTTCCAACCAATCTGATAGAGCTTGAGAGATACTGCAAATAGAAATGGGAAATGGAAAATGGAAATGGAAAATTCCCAAAGACAGGTTTGCCAAACTTGTAGCATGATATCAAAAAGACTTAAGGCTGTAATTGCTGCCAAAGGTGCATCAACAAAGTACTGAGCAAAGGCTGTGAATACTTATGTACATGTGATTTTTCAGCTTTTTATTTTTAATAAATTAACAACAATTTCAAAAACTCTTTTTTCATTTTGTCATTATGGGGTATTGTGTGTAGAATTAAGGAAATAAATTAATTTAATCCATTTTGGAATAAGGCTGTAAAAAAAGTGGAAAAAGTGAAGCGCTATGAATACTTTACGGATGCATTGTATGTATAACCTACTTTTTTTTTTTAAAAACCTGCAGTGCTTTTGTAAATAAACGAAACACTTTATTTTTCTATTAGTTTTCCTCTATTTTCACAGAAATAGGCTACAGGTGTGCTGCTTCTCTGTTGTTAATGCTGCCATTTGATACTATTTTAACATTTTAGTTTATAATTTCAAGTCCAAAACTAAAATGAAACAAAAAACAAAAATAAAAGAAAACGAAGATCTCAAATGGTCATCTGTGGAATTTCTGTTCTTCTAAGCTGTGGATAATGTCTTACTGGTCCATCTCTAAACAACTTACACCTGAATCTGCACAGCACTACAGGATTGCTGATTATCTTTACATAGTCTTTACTGTCCAGATAGTTTTAATGCCAAAAATAATTGAAAAATTCTTGCAATTTACAACAGGGTGGAATTTTAAGCATGGATCCCTTAAAATGTTTAGTGATCAGATCAGATAGCTTAAAGAAACAGTTCACACCAAAAAGTAAATCCACTCAATTTACTCACCCTCAAGTGGAACATGCAAACTCCACACAGAAATACCAACTGACCAAGCCAGGACTCAAACCAGCGACCTTCTTGCTGTGATGCAACAGTGCAAACCACTGAGCCACCATAACACTTTTTTTTTTTTTTACATATGTAATTATTGACTTCCACAGTACACAAATAAAATACTATGGAACTGAATGGCCGGAGGTTTCCAGCAATCTTTAAAATATTTTCTTTTGTGTTCAACGGAATGCATGTGATGGTGAGTTCCAGTTCAAGTGGATGGTGAGTAAATAAATGACAATTTTCATTTTTGGGTGAACTATCCCTTTCAATAACAAGAGATGCAGGGGGATATGCCCACCGTGCTGAAGCTCTTTTCCTGTTGCGTGTGACTTCTTGACTGGACCGTCGTGTATAGCTATCAATGAAAAAATTTAGATCAATACGAGTTGAATTAAGAATGCAAATCATTTCTGATTATGTAAAATCAAACTTCATGCAAAACATTTGTAACTTCAAAAAAGTTCAACTTACTGGTGGTCATTGTCTATGCCTGGTGGTGCTGTAAAGTCAACCAGAGGTCGAAAAGGATGACACCTGCACCGGCCCAAAATCTGACTCACAACCATGTGGATACCAGAATGAGACAGCTGCGTCAGAGGGAAGTTGAGCCGCCTGTGCCGAAACCACTTTCTGAAGGATGTTGGAGAAGATAAAGCAAGGACGGTACTAACACCTGCACCAGAAAAGCTCCATTTGCTCAGAGCAGACAAAGGAGGAGTGGTGGGTCGAAAAAGTTGAGATAAGCTAGGACAACACGCAGAGCCTTTATCCAGGTTAACAGGTAAATCATTTGAAGGACATGCTAGCATACCAGTTAACTGTGGCGAGAGAGGAAGAATGAAGTCATCAAGAATTGGCTGGCGATGGTTAAATATCTCTGCTCCCTGCTCAATAAATGACAGAGTTTCTCCAGCTTTAAGAGTGGGAAATCCAGAAAGGTGTTGTTTCTTTCCACCAAAGTGTTTGAGCTTAGATCCAGCTCTGCTGTAACCAGTCCACCTGTTCAAGTCATTAGAAGTACAGCTACCCACCAAGCGAAGGGCAGTGTCCGAGAGTTGAGTTAACAGTTTGTTGGTACTGCGGTCTAAAACTGATTTGGAGGACCCATTTCTAGGGGCTGAGAGATGGGAACTGGTGCATGCTTGAAATGTTAGAAGAGAGCCAAAAGATTTTCTTTCACCTACATCTTTTACCAAATGGTTTGATAAGGTAAGTTCACAGTATGGCTGTACTGACATGTCGGACTCTTGACTAGGTGATTTTAATGGACGGTCCTTTGTGCTTGAAAACTGACAATCAATGCGCTGAGCCTTACGATCCAGCTTTGTGCCCTCTTCTGAAGCTCCAGCATTGGTTCCTGTTAGTTCATTCCTGCCCTGTTGTGACATTGGGACGTGATCAAAGTCTGAAGTACTCAGAGAGGTAGTAGTGGAGTGAAAACTGCCATTTATTTTGAACTTGTCCCAAATCTCTCCTTCTTTCTTACTGTGATTCTGAAAGGGATCTGAAGAAAGCTTGGGTTCATCATGGTTTGATTGTGCGACAAGCGGCTTAATGGGGAAAGAAAAACTAATTTCACTTAAAGATTGTTGTTGAATATGTTCGTCTTTGACTTTAGTCGAATTTCCCAATGTCACAGTCTTCCCAGATGTTGCTGAATTTTTTGGCTTGGACAAAAAATAAAGAGGATCTGAGTTTGACTTAGGAGGTGAAAGTTTCAGAATCTTAACGTAAGGCAACTTAAGCGGTTTCTGAACATGTAAACGTTGATTAATCAAAGTGTCTTCCTCTACCGGACTAGATTCCTCATTCTCCGCATCAGAGGACAGCACTTCCTGCTTACAAGAAGGTCCCTGGCTGTCATTGTCATCTGAGCTGCTAATCACAGTATCAACCAATAATGCAACTCTGTCCTTCTCAGCATCTACTTCCATCTCCAGGTCCTCAAAATCTGAAACGGGGGAGTATTTCCCCTGCAAACTATTGTCAGTTTGTCTTAAAGGGGACGTTTTTAGGATTTCACAAGATAATGAGCCACTGGCATTGAACTTTTGACCTTCACAGCTTAAGTCTTCAGGCTTGCGGGTAGGACTTTGGCTAGACCGAGAAGGAGTTGACATTGTCCATGAACAAATAGGGTCCTTTTTAGGTTCACATGACAGAGATCTATAAAGAGACTGTGGCCTAGACAGGCAGACATTTGAGAGTATGTCTTTGTTGTCTTTTGCCACTTCCCCATTCGATCCTGCAAGAACACAATGAAAAGTAAAGTTAAAATGTAATCCACAAACAACTCAATTTTGTTGACGTTTTAGCAAAATACTCCACATTTAGCCACCTGTGGTGCTTTTTTAGGTGCTAGTTGTTGTAAATTTGATTTGATTTGATTTCCTCATGCTATGGCAACAATTCTGCAACAGCTCTTACAAATGACCTGTTTTTAGCTAATCGCAACCTCTTGCGATTAGCTAATCGAAAGGTTTGAAAACGCATTTGCGATTCGATTTAGATTAATCGCACAGCCCTATTTGTGATCACTTACTAATGAGCACTTTCACATTTATCTCTTGGAATTATTTCTCTTTCAGAATGATGGGCCAATCCACACATCAATAATTGTTCTCATTCACTAAACATGCATACGAACACATTTTTGTGTGAATTTTGCATACATTTTTTACAAATAAAGTTTCATCAAACATTTGGCTACACTTTATTTTAAGGTGACGTAGGTACAATTTAACTAACTACTGAGTATCATTAATTACATGCACTTAATATATGGTTAGGGTAAGACTGGTGTTGATTGGATTTAGGGTTAGTTACATGTAATTATGCATAACTCCTTCTAATTACAATAGTAAGTGTATAGAACATGTTTAAATTTGTAAATTTAAGTGTTACCAAACATTTGTACAAATATGTATTCTAAATGTACAAGCAAATAACCAGTGCTCAAACTGAGGTTGGACATGAAAAAAAAGACAAAAAGCATCCCCTTAGTAAAATCGCCATCACCTTAAATTTAACAACAGTGTGCGTAAAGTAAAAACTGCTTATGCAAATTAAACATAAAAATGTTCTATTTATGGTAATTTATGACTTCTAAACAACGATTTACCAATTAAAAATTATTATAATGAGGCACCACGCACAAGCGCAATACAGTTAATTGAATCATTTTTCATGATTTTCAAAATGTCTAAGAGAGCTGCATTCTTTAAGAAGAGAACAGAAGGTATGATATTTAGTTGTTTAATATGTATGCTGTACCTGCCATGCATAACTGCACTTCAGAACAGTTTATGATGCGAGTTTAACTTAAGCTGTTCTATATTTACTGTAAAACACAGTTAACAGGGCTTGCTAACATTCAAGCTGTGGTCACACTAGACTTTTCTCCCCATAGACTTATATTCATACGCACACAAATGCGACAGACTGGATACGGAAACTCATGTGACACGTTTTGCAGTTCGCTGCATTGGGAAGTTCAAGCTTGGTGAACTCTGACCTGTGAAATCGCATCATGTAATTGCGTGAGATCAAGCGAAGATTAAAACATGACCTCTCTGGACAGAAATTTAAAACATGGACCAATCACTTGCTTTTTTTAATGCCTGAGGATCTTGTTTAATCCCGCCCCTTTTCACAGCGCCGTACGACAGAATTTCGCACGCACAAACTCTGTCTATGTATTTAGACCTATTTTGTTATCATTGTGTGTGTGTGTGTGTGTGTTGCTTCAGGACAACACTCATTCCATGATTAGAGGTAAGAGCTGCACGATTAATCGCAAAAATCGCAAAAAGATCCAATCCAGATCGCAACCTCAATTCCACCCCCTAGACCAGGGATCCCCAAACATGTTCCTGGAGTTCCTGTGTCCTGCAGATTTCAGCTTTAACCCTAATCAAACACACCTGAACAAGCTAATCAAGGTCTTACTACGTATACTTGAAACACCAAGGCAGGTGTATTGAGGTAAATTGGAGCTAAACCCTGCAGGGCACCGGACCTCCAGGAATGAGATTGGTGACCCCTGCCATAGACCACAAGTGTCAAATCAAGTTCCTGGAGAGCCGCAGCTCTGCACAGTTTAGTTCCAACCCTGCTTCAACACACTTGCCTGTAGGTTTCAAACAACACAGAATGACTCAATTAGTTTAATAAGGCGCGTTTAATTAGGATTGGAACTAAACTGTGTAGAGCTGCGGCCCTCCAGGAACTGGATATGACACCTGTGCCCTAGATGATCTTAATCCAGCATTTCTACGATTCTGCCAATCATATTTTCAAGGTCAGGAGAGAAGCAAAGACGGCTGCACAAGTTTTCACGTTGTTTTACATACATTGCTCAGTAACGTGGACACCTCTAAAAAGTGTCATTTACTGTATTTATATGGTATAATTCACCTAAAAATGTCATTTCTGTCTTCATGTAATGATGTATTTGCGGCTGCGAAATCACACGTGATGTAAGCTGACCATTATATCGCATTTTAGAGATATGATTGCAACAAGCGTTTTAATGTTTTTCTTTCATAGCCAATACACGGTGTTGTGCACTAGATAAGTGTTTAACAGTGTCAGTATAACTACTTTAGCCTATATAATGTTGAATATCATGCAAGAGGGAATCTGATAATGACAAACGTCTGATTTTACCAGTGGAAAAAAAATGGTTCAATAAAGTTGTCAATGACAGATTGCAAGCATATGTCGCAAACATAATAATTCTAATTAAGTCTATTCAAAATTGAGCATTTTAACTAACTCAATAGCCCACTCAATAATCTTTATTTTACATCTATAGAATCGAGAGAAAATCATGATCTTTATTTTAAGCAAAAAAAATGTGGTTCTCGTTTAGCCAGCAGCTCTATTAGTGGTCCGAACAATCACCTGATCTATCCTTATACAAGTGGGGGTTATTCTGTCTCACCTTGTGTTTGAAGACATGGCACACTTGGTACTGCTAGAAGACATTGCAGTGCATACTCTAAAGCACATCAAGAACTCTAAAGCACAGTCAAATTAGGGTCCTTTAGTTCCAACCCTAATTAAACACACCTGATCAAACTAATGGAGTCCTTCAGTTTTGTTTAAACCTACAGGTAAAGCTGCGGTCACACAGAGCTTTTCTTCCCATAGACTTTCATTTATGCGCATGCAAATGCGTCAGACCGGAAACGTGGGGTCATGCGTCAAGTTTTGCAGGGTCCTGCGGTGCAAAGTTCAAGCTTAGTGAACTCTGACCTGCGAAATCGCATCACTTGACAGCGTGAGACCAATCGAGGATCAAAACATGACCTCTCTGGACAGAAATTCAAAACATGGAGCAATTGCTCGCTTTTTTAAATGTCTAATAAGCTTGTTTACTCCCGTCCCTTTTCGCAGCGCCACACGACAGAATATCGCATTTTCAAACTGTAGTGTGACCGCAGCTTAAGTGTGTCGACGCAGGGTTAGAACTAGACTGTGCAGAGCTGCGGCCCTCCAGGAACTGACTTTGACACCTGTGCTCTAAAGAGAGAGTGCGTCTTTACAGAGCAAACAGTTATGTTTGCTTAAAGTGACTTGTCACTCTTGACATAAAGCCTTTATATGGAGCTGGTTTGGGCTTGTATTATGCAAATTACTAAAATTGTGCACAGAGATGCTCATTTAGAAGAGTCCAAATACACTAACAGAAGAACCAGTTTAAGAACAAGCTCATGTGTGTACAACTAGGCAAGTTTTCATGAGAAGTCCAAATGTGCGTATAAATGGGAAAAATGTATGAGACCATGACTAGAATTAGCAAGTAGGAAATCATGGTTTGATGTTGTAGCATACACTAACCGCCACTGGCTACATATCCCACATCAACTATGCTCATCACAGCATTTCTACCTCATAGGCCTTTAAAATATATGCAAAACTAAACCCAAATTTTAGAATATTTAAATTTAAGCAGCTATATGAATTATGTAAACATTTACCAAAACTGCAAGCTGATGAAACACTTGGAGTATTTGGACATCCAAAGGAGATGTCTCTACCCAATTGGCCAACTTTACTGTGCAGCTGGGCTAAACTGCGTGTGTGTGCGCTGCTTTGTGAACACAACTGGTCCATCCTCTTCTCCATAGCCTCCAGACGCTGAGCCAGAGGTCCGAAGGTATCAGTCAGCAGACGTTTCATGTCATTGTGATGGGAGACAAGAAATCGCTCCAAAACTCCAAGCTGCTCTCCTGATGGTCCAGCTGAAGGAGATAGAGGAGATGTCCATCGTGGATCTCTGAGCTTGCCCTCTGCAAAGGGATATTGATCAAAAACAGTGCTTTATAAGAGCGGCATCCTGACTAACAGACAACAGCAAACTTTGCAATAATTTTTTATAACCGCTTCTTTCACACCATATACACTCACAGGTCACTTTATTAGGTACACTTTACTAGTACCAGGTTGGACCTCCTTTTGCATTCAGAACTGCCTTAATCCTTTGTGGCACAGATTCAACAAGGTACTGGAAATATTCCTCAGTGATTTTGGTCCACATTTACATGATAGCATCATGCAGTTGCTGCAGACTTGTTGGATGTACATCCATTATGTGAATCTCCTGTTCCACCACATCCCAAAAGTGCTCTATTGGATTGAGAGCTGGTGACAGTGGAGGCCATTTGAGTAAAGTAAACTCATTAACATGTTAAAAAAAAAACAGTCTGGGATATTTTTTGCTTTAGGACACAGTGCCTTATCCTGCTGGAAGTAGTATCAGTATCAGAATATGGATAGTACACTGTGGTTATAATTAAATGGACATGGTCAGCAACAATACTCAGGTAGGCTGTGGCGTTGACACAATGCTTAATTGATGTTCACAGTACTGCCACTATCTGGATAATTTCGCTTTTTCAGACAATTCTTTGTAAAACCCTAGAGTTGTGAGAGTCGTGCGTGAAAATCCCAGTAGATCATCAGTTCCTGAAATACTCAGACCAGCCTGTTTGGCACCAAATACATGCCATGATCATAGTTCAAAGATTGGCTGATTAGAAATTTGCATTAACAAGCAGTTGGACAAGTGTACCTAATAAAGTGGCCGGTGAGTGTGCATTTGTGCACATTTGTCTGCAGTGCACACTTGTGCAGATTTTCAAAAACGATCACATGGATGTTACTGACAGCTAGATATTACATGAAATAAAGGAAGAAAAACTATGCAATTATTCCTTTTCTACTTGGTTATTCTGTTTTATATTGTATTCTGTCTCTTGTTATTACAAAATATTCTCTTCCTGTTAATATATAAAGCATTCTATAGAAGTCTTTTCCCACTACAAAAAAAATTTATATTATATAATATATATATTGGGACTTTTTCGTGCAATTGCAAGTTTCCATAAATCAATTCTGACTTTACTTCTCAGAATTGTAAGTTTATATCGCACAATTTTGACTTACCTCACATTTTCGAGTTTACATTTCACAATTCTAAGAAAGGTCAGAATTTCACATTTATATCACACAATTCTGAGACAGTCACAATAAACTCTTTATTTTTTATTCAGTGGCTGAAACAGGCTTCCATAGAATTTAATATATTTCAAGTAACTGTTTTTTTCCAGCAAGGATAAATTAATATGCTAAAATGTGAACATTTTTTACAATAAACTTGTATTTGAAATAAATTTTAGAATTCAAACAAATATTCAGTTGTTTTAACATAAATTAATGTCATACAGTTTCAAAAATCCTTATTCACATAGAAATATGTTAAGCACTATTCAACACTGATATTAAAAGATCCACCAAATCAGTATCTTTGAATTAATTCCAGATCATTGTACCTTTCCCAAAGTCTGAGGATTGTGGCTTGTCCCCAGACTCAAACTCCTCCCTGTGGGTTTCTTTGCATCCTATGGCCAGCTGTTCCTGGTACAGTGGAGAGTGAGGAGCAGGATGACACGGACCGGCTGCAGAGGCAGGAGCCTGCTCTGTCCCCTTTTGCTCAGCTGAAGGATTGGACAACATCTTTTAAGAGACTGATGGGAACAGAAATGAGATCAGTAATTATGTCAGATTAAATTGCATTAAAACATTAAAATTAGCATTACTACCGAGTCCGACCATTGATCATACCATATTCATGCAAAGTATCAAACGGACACTTTGGCAGTAAATGATTTGCATCTTTATGTACAAGGGTTTTACAATACCATATTACTTTGATATATATCATAGTACTAAAAGATTCTATTATTATTTAAGCAATTGCTCATTGATTAATGCTGGATATAATTTTTTATTTAATTTCCTCTTAATTAATGAAATATCATTTCCCATTCAAAGTTATAAAAAAAAAAGAAATTTTGGAATACAGTGTCTTGACTTAGGCCAGACTAGACTTTGCTGACCTAAACCCGAATAAAAATGTCATTATAAATAATTTATATCCCTATACATTCTTAAACAATAAAGTGCAAGTGAAATCAAAAATTTGCAATGTTTATTTTTCAGGTCATGGTGTTATACTTAAAATGAACTACTCATCCATGGAAGTTAATCCACTGGAAACAAAGTTTGTTTTGTAAACCCTCAATCAAACTCTGACAGTGGCTTCAACGTTCGGATTGTCGGTCCTTCTGTTGACGGCTTCCATTGAAACTGTATATCAATATTCTTAACCATGCCCCTCCTAGCAAAGTGATGCATAAAAGAATGCCCTGCTCACTACTCAATAATTCATTTAAGTTGGAAGTACCTCAACATACTGACATAAAGGTCTTAGCAACTTCTGGTGGACGCTGACTTTAAGAGGAACATTACAAATATTCATATTTCTTGGTAGGTTGTACTGCTTCAAAAACCCAGAAGAAGAAATAAGTTAAATAAAAATACTGAGCAGGCAATTTATTAAAAAGCTGAATTGAAAGTTTGTCAGCTGATCAAAGGTTTCAGACTGCAGCCTTAAAAAAAAACGTTACAAAAAATACGGCTTCCGTGTCATTGTACTTTAGGCAGCGTGGTGCAGTTGTTGCTGGAAGGGATACTGCTGCAGCCAGTAGTTAATGACAATTGTTAACATTATTTATTAAATTATGCATAAATGTTATTTTTTGCAAACATCTGCCCAAACCCCAACCCTCAAAGTAATGTAAAAACAGTAATTACACTGAGTATTATCTATATTATTTATTAAATTACCCATTAAATTGTTTTATTAGCGTCTACCCAACCCCAAACCTCAACCTACCCCTCACAGTAATGTAAAAAGATTACTGCTGTAAAGCTTCACAAAAATTATGCAATATCGATGCAAGTATCCGCAGCTTTATACCATCTAGACTTAACCGTGCCGCACACTACCCAGTGCTAGATTAGCATTGCCTTGAAAACCAGCTAATCAGCACATCCCACCTGCACCTCGTCAGCAGTAGGCATGGGCCGGTATAAGATTCTGACAGTATGATAACCTTGGATAAAAATATCATGGTTTCACGGGATTGTGATTATCTTTTTAAATGTCTGGGTAAAAAACAACATTATTTTTAGAAACATTTTAAATATTTTGGAACAATAAACATGTCAGGCTAAATAAATAAAATTAATCACAGATTTCTTTCCAATTTACAACGGCATCTTTGGATGTCTTTTCTGCTGGAGACACTGTTGTCCTCCAAAACAAACAAACAAAAAAAAAAACATAAAACTTAAAACTTACATATACTGTAGGAACAGTATAGCAAACAATTTTAAAACCTTGACTTTTCCAAGTCGCGATATTCCTTGAAAAAATTTTTTTATCCAATGCCTAGTCAGCACTTAAGGCCATTTACCAAGGCTGTATTCAAACAGGAAACAGGAAAAAGACTAGTTAAAGACTTGATCTACTGTGAAATTAGTAAAATCTGTTCTTCTTTAACCCAGATACCAACGTCTGATGACCGGCATCATAAGAGCATTGGTCCAATGTTTTTATAGATATTGAAAACAATCAAAAAGTAAAAACTCACTTTTAAATAATTTTTGTTTACTAAAAAAATAAAAACAAGTGTTTAAAAAAAAACTAGAAATGTATTGAAAATTAGAAAATTATCTAGGATCTAGAAAATTATCTAGAAAATCTAGAAAATTATAGCAAAAACATAGTTTTTAAAAACATCTTCATCTTTCTAAATGTATTTAATACTTAAGCCTACTTCATGTCTTTTAGAAGTAAATCTATTTACTTTGCGCTGCCAGGGGTTTGACCCATACGGTACTTTAGAGTCTGTGATGCCATTGCTTCGGTTCTCCTGCAGTCAGTCCTCGCTGATGCTCCCGCAATAAAAAAAAAAAAAAAAAATGGACATGACAGCAGCAGAGTGACAGCATTAAATACAGAGACTACAATGTTTTAATTTAACACATTTGTGCCCGGTATTGGGTTTTATTTCCCTATTAGTGATCACAATCGTGAACGGATTGTTCTTTTTTACACTATCTTCTAAGTGAACCGGTTGCAGTAGTTCACCTGATCAAACTGAATCATTTGAAATGATTCACATTTCCAATAAGCACTCTTATCCACAAACTACAGTTACAGTTATCAGAACAGTACTCTGAGATCAGATTTGAGAAGCGGTGAATCGATACTGCTGCGCATAGGTGATTCTGTGAACTGAACACAAACAGTTGAACAACTGCAGCACGGGTAATGTTGGTGATGTTTTAACTGACTAAAATTATGATTGCTGACTACATATTTTTGGTATGTTTAGTCCTAACATGAGGATTGTCACTAAAGATCCGGTTCGCGTTAAAGATCATAACTTCATCACTACTGTGCATCTAACTTCAGAAACAGGCTTGCAAACATATTTTACTTAAGGATGCTATCTTGTGGGCTGTTGTATTTAAATTTGAGGATGGGTAGATGGTAGTGGTAGATGATAGTGTTCATGTGTCCTAAATACGTTTAAAATAATTATTTTTGTTTGAGTTTATATTATACAATATTTGTTCTGATGATCTTGAATCTTGCAGCTAACAAATATCCTTATTTAGAAAAAACTAAAATACTGAAACTAATAATAACTAAACTAAAACTAAGCAATTTCAAAATATGGAAACTAATAAAAACTAGTAAATTTACCTCTAAAAACGAATTAAAACTAACTGAATTTGATTCAGTAAAAAGTCAAAATGAAATAAAATGAAAAATCCAAAACTATTATAACCTTGCACTGGTCTTGACTCATCTCTTTGTACAGAGAACCACCAGTGCATATCTAAAGTTCAACAGCACTCCTTTAGTAAACAGTATTCATTCACCTTTTTGCACTGTCCACCCACTGGGGATTATTGTTAGCACCTTTACCATCTTGTGTCCATATTTTCACTCTCTATGCAACAGCAGAGACACTGTCAGGATGGCAAAGGCAAAAAGGCTAGAACGTGGCAGGACTGTTGAGTTGCACTAGCAAGGCCTGTCACAATGCACCATCAATTGGAGTAAGACTGTCTTTTTAAGTTTTTTATGGGACAATAAAAAAACTATTTATAAACTGTACATCAGACACAGGATGATGCAGACTGCAGCTCAATAACCATAAGATGGCATCTGCTGAAGAAGGGCTTAAAGGGTAAGGGATAGTTCACCAAAAAGAAAATTTTCTCACCCTCAAGTGGTTTCAAACCTTTAGCGTTTTTTTATTCTCTTAAGCACGAAAGATATTTAGAAAAATGTTGGGATACTTCCACAGAAAAAAGAAACACTATGGAAGTCAATGGTTACAATGGTTTCTAGTGTTTTTTTTTAAATATTGTCTTTTTGTTTCACAGAAAAAAAAATTCAAAGGTTTGTGAGAAGTAAAGAGTGAATAAATTAATTTTTATTTGCTTTTTTTGGTGAACTACCTCTATAAAAAGTTTAAATTTACTCAGCCTCAAGTGGTTCCAAATCTTTATGGGTTTCTTCTGTTGGACAGAAGATATGTGGACGAAAGACGAAAACCTGTATCCATTGGCTTACATAGTAGAAAAATAACAAATATTAAAACTCAAAATTCCTTCTTTTGTGTTTAACAGAGGAAAGAAAATGTTTTTAAAACTTCACGTCTCCTCCCACACCTTCCTGTTTGGGATTTGCAAGGGTGCACCAAACATGACACTGAACACTGGTAGAAAGTTTTAATCTCATCTTGATGGCTTTCTACAAGGGCTGAACAATAATAAAAAAACTGACACTACAATATTTTGATCATATATTGCGTAAATTATACAAAATTGCTTATAACTCTATTTGGAAGGAATTTAAAATTCTACATTGACGTGGATTATTTAGATTTTCTTTCATGTTTTTTTCAGAGGTTGCCACAGTGGAACGAACTGCAAACTATTTCAGCATAAGTTTTACACAGTGGATGCCCTTCAAGATGCAACCCAGTACAGGGGAACAACCATACACACTCATTCACACATACTCATACACTGCAGCCAATTTAGTTTATTCAATTCACCTATACTGCTTGTCTTTAAACTGTGAAAAAAACCAGGGCACCTGGAGGAAACCCACGCAAACATGGGGAGAACATGCAAACTCTACACAGAAATGCCAACTGGCCCAGCCGAGGCTCAAACCAGCGGCCTACTTACTGTAATGAAGTACAGCAATTTACTTCAGCTTTACTTTATCAGCACAGCCACGTGTCAGAACAATTATAAAGGAAGACGCTTCAATCCCGGTTTGTGGACGTTAAATCGGGTATATTTTGTACATAAACATAACGGATATCCACACAGCAGTGGAGATTAAACGGTATCCTGTCACATATGCATGCAAAAACAGTGCAAAGCTAAGCGCGCTCTGTCTGTGTGTGTGTGTGTGTGTGTGTGTGTGTGTGTGTGTGTGTGTGTGTGTGTGTGTGTGTGTGTGTGTTCGTGAACCTTGTAATGATATTGTGTGACTCATCAATGCAACTCCACAACAAATACTCAATGGTAAAGTTCTTCCTGTAGTATTTCTCAAACGCTATACGTGAGATCTTCTTCCTTTAAGTCTGTCTGTTGTCTGACGCAGCCGAGGGAGAAGATTAAGGCACGCAGAAAGGCACGTAGAAACGGTAGGCGGGGAGGAATGGCTTTAAAGGCGCAGTACGACAAAACAGCCCCCTGGTGGAAAAATTTATAGAATATGATCTTGTAAAAGGTACACTGAAAAATCTGATGGGTGTTTTGAGCTGAAACTTTACATAAACATTCTAGAGACGCAAAATACTTATTAAACACATAGAGTAAATCTGGAAAAAAGGGCTAACCTAGGTGCCCTTTAAATCTCCGGTCCTTCAGGATTTGAATTAACCATTTTCTCTTTGGTGCACTGATTTTTTTTTTTAATTCAGAACATGAAACTAGAGTGTCATAGATTTCAAATGATGCCTTGTTTTTGATAAATGGTTGAATATTTGCAATAATATAAAGATAATAAATTCTACAGCCATGACCAGACAACCTGAATACAGGCCATTGCCAGTTAAGTGGTTCAACATATCTCAATGAAAACCTTTTACTATTTCTGACAAAATTTGAACTGTGGTATGTATTATTAGAATCCTAACTCGACGTTGCAGATCCTGCGATATGACTATTGCAGATTCGCACATTCCCATATTGATCCTGAAACTATATATTGTGCAGCCCTACTTCCAACGTTACTGGCAGGACAAGGAGATCAAACTAGAGATGTTTTCTGCACAGCACAGTGGAGAACTTATTCATCATTTCCCGGACATGCTGCTCTTAACTTTGGGCTCTCGTCTGTGTTGTAATTGACTTGGTCTTTCAACAGGACAATGCTGTAGTTCACAAAACCAGACTGACAAAGGACTTCTTCCAGGAGAATAATGTCACACTTTTGGACCATCCAGTGTTTTCCCATGATCTAAATCTAATTGAGGATGTTTGGGGATGGAGGACAAGAGATGTTTACAGAAACAGTTCTAGACCATGGATGCCCTTTGTGAAGCCATTTCACCAGTAGCATCAAACATGCCGGAACAATGTAAAACAGTAGCATCGAGCATGCCGGGACAAATGTTTGATGAACAAGAATGGTGGGGCTACTCACTATTCCTTTTTTAACCCATTTAAGCCCACCAGCAACTATAGTTACTGAAGTTCATAGTTGCCATTTTCCTTTAATAAGTCATTTTCAACATGTTAACCATGTCTTATTTCTCAATGACATGCAAGCAAACAACCAAATAAAAGATTTCAAGAAAGAAGAAAAGGACTTGATTCACTTTCTTTTACATGAAGCCTTCAACTTCCTACTCCTAATATCAGGATACAAAATAGTTGCAAACCCTTCCAAATAAAGCCCATTTTCATGACACAAAAAATATTTTTTTGTTCACAAATTATATATATAAACATAGTCATGAAGGTCTTCTAGATTCATCCAAACCAAACAAATCTTTCAAGAGATCTATAGTTTTTTTTGTGTACTTTGTCAAATGTTCAAGCGCAACTATATATATATATATATATATATATATATATATATATATATATATATATACTTTACTTTTTGACTCTTGACTGTTTTTGTTATTTTTTCTTTGACTGCTGTAACTGCTGACTGCTGTAGTGTGGGACCCAATTGTCTCTACCATTGAGATTTGTGTAAAAAGACATTTAAACTGTTGAAATGTTTTTATATATTAATATTTGTATTAACTGCTATTTAAAATTAATTATTGCAATATTTGTCTTTTTGCCACACTGTCTGTTGGGGAAACTAGTGTGTGTTTAATCACTTCAAGACAAATGGATTATTTCATTGTGTTTTTATTTCATTAAATTATATGATAGATCATTTCTGGAGGGGGGGGGGGGTCCATATCAAACGGTTTTCTAATTTTTAATCATTATAAAGGTGTTTATGAAAATTAATTTATCTTTTGAAAGCAGTTGTTTTAAGTTAGAACGCCTAATGTTCTCCTCCTATACACCTAATCTCCTATTTTACATTGAAGGTTTCTTGCCATATATTTGCCCACCAGCAAATACAATTTCTTGAAAAAAAATCAAAAACCTGGAGAAACTAAATGCAAAACATGTTCCAATATTACACTATTAACAAGGTTTGTGTTGTTGTTGTTGTTTTGGTTTTCGCCTGTGATCTTTAAAATTTGATCAGCTGCTTGACTTTAAATTCAGTTGTCAATAAATTTATTTTTTTTGTCTCTTGCTCTTTTTTTTATTATTATTTTGCAGCAGTATTTAAAAAATGGTTATGACCCACCAGCAAAAAATGTGAATACTTTGTTGTAATGTTTGCCCCTGGTCTTAAAGCAACAGTTCCATTTTTTTTTTTAATTCTTCCATCATTTCCTCACCCTTAACTTGTCACAAACTTGTTTGAGTTTCTTTCTTCTGTTGGACACAAAAGATGATATTTTGAAAAAAGTTAGAAACCTAAAGCCATTAGAATCCATAATAGGAAAAACAACATAATAGGAGTTTCAAAGTTTCTTCTTTTTCTGTTTAAGGTTTGTGACAAGTGAAAGATGAGTAAATGATGACAACAGTTGGGTGATCTGTCCCATTGTACTGCTTCTCAGCTATACAATACGTGCTACTAACATCTTAAAATGTGTTTTGGAGTAAGAGCGAATATGAATATGTTTCCCTGTGTACTGTAAATAAAATTAATTCTTGATCATTAATGCATTTACGCGTTACATCAATGTACAGTTGCAATCAGGATTATGAAACCCCTTTGATTTTTTTTCTTTTTTAAATATTTCTCAAAAGATATATAACAGAGCAAAGAAATTTTCACTGTATGTCTGATCATATTTTTTCTTCTGGAGAAAGTCTTTTGTTTTACTTCGGCTAGAATGAAAGCAGTTTCTAATTTTTAAAAAAACATTTTAAGGTCAAAATTATTAGCCCCTTAACGCTTTATTTTTTTCGATAATCTACAGGACATACCATCATTATACAATAATGATGCCTAATTACCCTTACCTGCCTAGTTAACCTAAATACCCTAGTTTAACCTGTCACTTTAAGCTATATAGAAGTGTCTTGAAAAATATCTAGTCAAATAGTGTTTACTGCCATCATGGCACAGATAAAATAAATCAGTAAATAGGAGTTATTAAAACTATTATGTTTAAAAATGTGCTGACAAAATCTTCTCTTTGTTAAACAGAAATTGGAGGACGAAAAATACAGGGGGGCTAATAATTCTGATTGCAACTGTATATATTCATGTATTTACAATGTACAAATTATCTTAACAGTACAATTTTCGTACGTTGACACTGTTATATCACATGTTAATACGAGTATATTTTCAGTTTTCTGTGAATTTAGGAACCTGTCAGACGCCCATGTCAGCTGTTTCAGGCTACTGTAGTAATTCGCAACACGTGACTTTCATTCTGTCCGAAAAATTCGTTTGTAACGTTACTAAATACTACACACGTCACTTCACACACCTATATTGTTTCACTAAAAAACAGCGCAATACGAAAACACTCACATTAATGAAATTGAGCAGTATTCTTAGCAAACATAATACCAATAGCGTTAACCACGCGTTATTAGACCAGCGTTCGCGTTCAATTCACGAGAGGTAATTCGTGATCACTTTAAAGTACTTTTCATTTAACTTGTGAATAATGCGCAATGATGTTCATGAAAAGGCTTCTTATGCAGCTCAGGCTTCAGGAGGCCCTCAAAACGAATGCAAATTAATAAATAAAAAGTCAAACATGTTCAATAACACAGTACCTGTTCGCGGGTTTCAGTTTAGATTGATCAGTCCCAGCAAAACAACGTCTCCGGCGGTGAAAGTGTGCTGTTAAATCACTAATATTCCTCGATCCATCCTCATGATGATGCACAGGTCGGATGTGATTTCTTTAAGCCAGTAAAAGTCATTTCCGGCGACCCCACAGACCCATATTCAGATTAACAGAGAGATTTTCATTACAAACTGACCGCACAATAACCCAGTTTTTTGAAGACAACCTCCCCGCTTAACTATGCCATTAATTTAAGGCAGAGAGCGAACAAAATACACAATCGCCAGAATATTTGCTATTGAAAAGCAATGACGACTTCCGCCATGCGTGCTGCCGTAAAGCCTGTCGCGATTGGCTACTGCAAGAACTCAGGCTCATTTCTATTGGACTGTGTTTTGGCAACACTTTCATGATATTTGAAAGGCACATTAGACATTACATCTGTTTGTTTTGGACGGATCCTTAAATTTGGATGTTAGTCAGGTAAATAAACAATTGTTTAAAAATTAAAAGGATTAAGCAGTTATCTTAACTAGTCAAGAGGTAAATCAGAGATGAGCAGTAAAAACATCTAGATGTTGAACCATGTAGGCTATTTTTATAAGCAGTCTTTGCTGGCTTGGCAGTTGGTCTATAAACATTATTTTACACCCTATCTGTATTTTCTGTGTAATAATAGAGATGTCTTGTACAAAGGGAAGTCGTAATCATGGTATGACAATGGAATCTACAGTCAGTTAATTATTTCATGAACATGGATACCTTTTGTCATACTCGAAATTCCTTAAAAAATGTAAAGTTCCTGTAAAACCAAAAGACTATGCTGTTATTTTTGATCCAATACCAAGTAAAGTTGTATTAATAATAATAATAATAATAATAATAATAATACATTTTATTTGTAATGCGCTTTTCTTAAACTCAAAGCGCTAGAAGGCAAATTACTAACAATACAAGGCAAAAACAGCACAACGATAAAAAGATGCAATAAAACAATACAAGTATGAACCATAAGATAGAATAAAAAGTTTACAAATTGATCATCCTAAGTTAAAAGCAATGCTAAAAAGGTGAGTCTTAAGAAGTTTCTTAAAACAGCCCAGAGAGGCAGCATTCCTTATGCTGATGAGTAGTGCATTCCACAGCATAGAAGTACTGTATGAGCAATTACTGAGTGTGTAAGTCTGTATATTATCTGGACCAACAACAGCCTAAGAAAAGTGATGATGTTTTTTTATTGGTGATATTATAATTGTTAAAGATAAAAAGAAAGATAATAGTAATAGTTAGAAATGTATTAAAAAGGAATCATATACCATCTTCAAAAGTCTTCTGGTCTTCAAAATTTGGAAACATTGAGTGGAGGAAAGTATGGTTACTAACAAATACATTTTTTATAAGTAATGAAGACAGGAATCTTTTAAAATTTTACACGGAAAAAAGAGTTATTTGAACGGTTTGAAGTGAATAGAGTAAACCCTTGCGATTTTTGTGGTATTGTTAAAAAATCTGTTACTCATCTGTTTTTTTCAATGTGTATACTGAGGACTATTTTGGATTGATGTTTCTAACTAAATTTCAAAGACATTGTGTACACTAATACAAATTGGATTATATGATGTCATGTTTGCTTTAGTAGAAGATGGAATTGATTCATAAAGTACAACATATTTTATACAACTAATAATATTACTTGGAAAATACCATATTCATATCAAAAAATGGGCCAAAGCTAAGCCAATTTTTAAACATTTTATAAAGGAGATTAAACAATATGCTACGACACTATGTAACATTAGAAAAAGAAAAGCTAAAAAAAACATGAAGCATTATGTAAATTTCATTTTATTAAATAATTTTTATTATTATCTTACCTATTTTTTATGATATTTTCTGTTTTTGTAGGGTTCAGCCATTTGATAGTAAAAAGTTGCTTCCCTCTGAGTTTTATCTATATATTAAATATTATTAATTAAAAAATGTATGGTATTAATATACATGGGGTGTGACAGTGGGTATAGCACTGTCGCCTTACAGCAAGAGGATCGCTGGTTCGAGTCCCGACTGGGTTAGTTGGCATATCTGTGTGGAGTTCATTCATGTTCTCCCCATGTTCATGTGGGTTTCCTCCAGGTGCTCCGGTTTCCCCCACAAGTCCAAAGACATGCGCTTTAGTTGAATTGGGTAAATTTAATTGTCCGTAGTGTGTGTGTGTGTGTGTAAAGCTGCAGTCACACTAGAGTTTCTGTTGTGCGGCGCTGCGAAAAGGGGTGGGAATAAACAAAATTATTAGTCATTAAAAAAGTGAGCAATTGCTCCATGTTTTAAATTTCTGTCCAGAGAGGTCATGCTTTGATCCTCGGTTGGTCTCAAGTCAAGTGATGCGATTTCGCAGGTCAGAGTTCACCAAGCTTGAACTTTGAACCGCAACACCCTGCGAAACTTAACACATGACCCTGCGTTTCCGGTCTGACGCATTCGCAAGCGTATGAATACAAGTCTATGGGAGGAAAGGCCCAGTGTGACCGCAGCTTTACTGAGAGTGAATGGTTGTTTCTCGGTGATGGGTTGCAGCTGGAAGCACATCCGCATGTAAAACATATGTTGGATAAGTTGGCGGTTCATTCCACCAACTTATGGTATAACTGTTTTGGGGGATGAAATGTATAATATTTCATTCATTTATTTTATTTTCGGCTCAGTCCCTTTATTAATCAGGGGTCGCCACAGTAGAATGAACTGCTCAACTGGGAAACACTGCTTACTCTTGTTACCGGCGACAACAGCGATGGAAGGCTGTTATAATAGTTATTTTAAGGTTATAACAATGTAGTTATAACATTATAACAACGTAATTACATTGTTATAACATTATAAATATTATGTTAAAACATTGTAAGTACATTGTTTTAAAATATTCATTATAATATTATAACAATGTAATTATAATGGTATGGCATATAAAGTATATTGTTATAAATATAATGTTATAACAATAAAAATATAATGTAATAGCAAAATAATTACATTGTTACAACATTATAATGTCAAAACCATGTACTTACACTGTTAAAACATTGTAAGTACATTGTTTGAACATTGTAAGTACAATGTTATTACAAAGTAATTGTATTGTTATAACAATATTATAACAATTTAATTATAATGTTAAAACAGTATTGACAATATTGAAACAGTAATTATATTATAATGTTGTAATTACATTGTTATAACGTTGCAAGTAATAACATAGTATGTAGATTGTTATAACATAGTTATTATAATGTTATAACAATGCATTTATAACATCACAAAGTAATTACATTGCTATATTATTATAATTACTACATTAAAACATTGTAAGTACATTGTTATAACATTATATAATTGCATTACAACAATGCAAAGCAGTGTTAAAACAGTGTAATTACAATGTTATAACATAGTAAGTACGTTTCAACAATTTAATTACAATTTTACAACAGTAAATATAGTGTTATAACAATGTACTTATTTTGTTAAAAGTGTAGTTATGTTAAAACAGTAATAATGTTATAACATTGTAAGTACATTGTTAAAACATAGTAAGTATATTGTTATAACAGTAATTTTTAATTATAAGTATATTTACGTATAAATGCACAAATACTGTGCATGAAATATACAAAGAAACATTTACATTAATAAATTACATTAAAAAACATTGTAATTACATTGTTAAAACACCGTAATTATAATGTTATAGCAATCCAATTATAATAATATTGCAATGAAATTACAATGTACTTGCAATGTTAAAACCGTAATTAAAATGGTTAAAATACATTGTTAAAACATAGTAAGAAAAATTTTATTACATATTAATCATAATGTTATAACAATGTACTTACAATGTTAAAACCTTAATGATAATGTTAAAACATAATAAATATGTTATAACATTGTAATAACATTGGTAAAACGTAGTAAGTACATTGCTACTACAATTTAAGTACATTGTTAAAACAACGTAATTACAAAGTTATAACAATGTAATTACAATGTTATAACAAAGTAATTATAATGTAGTGACAGTGTAATTACATCCAAACTAAAAGTTTGTTATAACAAATTTACTGTGTATATTTACGCATAAATACACAAATACTGTACATAAAATTGTACATTGAAACATTTAGATTTATAACAACTATATTGGATGTAATGTAGTTACAATGTAATGACATAGTAAATACAATGTATCACAATTGCAATGTTATAACAGTAAATATAATGCTATAACAATGTATTTACAATGATAAAGCATAATTATAACGTTATAACATAGTAAAATACATTGTTATTACATAGTAATTATAATATTATAATGTAATTAGAACGGTTTAACAAAATTTTAGATTGTTATAAAATTGTTATAACATAACAATTATATTGTAATGACAATGCAATGAAATCTAAACATATCTACAAATTTGCTGCATAGTTACATATATATGCACAAATACTGTACACGAAATACACAAAGAAACATTTATAAAGTAAAACAAAAAAATTATTGTAATTACATTGTTATAACCCAGTTTTAACGTTATATTAATGTAATTACAATGTCATTACAATGTTATAACATTATAATTACTATGTTATAACATCGTAATTACATTATTGTTACATTAAACTTTTGGTCTGTATTGTATATTACTTAAAAAAAATCCTAATAAGAAAATACTTTCTAAACCTTTATTTAATGTTTAAAATGCAAATCCAATTAGATTTACTATATTTGGTAAACAAAGCAAGCCTCTCATATATCTACTAAAAGACAGAAGTATTACTTTACAAACTGCATTGTACATAAATCAGATGGTCATATGTCAAAAATGTTACTGTATGTAAAAACTGAATAAATATAGATGAACAAAGATTTACTCAAGTAAATAAACAGAATAAATAATGGGCTAAAAATTTGCTGAAAATCTGCGATTCCATGTGGGCCTACCTATTCCTTAGTTACAGCTGGATGTACAAATGCTTTGCGAAGATTTATTTCTCCTAGAGCTCAAATAGTACACATTAGATCAGATAATGGGACAAACTTCAACAGAGTGCCAACAGAGAATTAAAAAAGAGGCCATATCTGCATGGATTGACAAGCAAATTGGAATGGAGTTACTTCAAGTAGGGGTTCAAAAATAATCTAAAAAATAGCAATTATAACTATAACATAGTAAGTACATTGTTATAACATAGCTATTATATTGTTATGACAATGTAATTATAATATTATAGCAAAGTAAATACATTGTTATAACATTATAAATAGTTAAAACAACAGACTTGCATTTTTATAGCATTATGTTAGTACAGTGTTAAAACATAGTAAGTACAATGTTATTACAAAGTATATTGTTATAACAGTGTTATAACAATTTAATTATAATCCTATAACAATGTACTTACAATGTTAAAGCAGTAATTGTATTATAATGTTGTAATTACATTGCAAGTAAACTGTTATATAATAGTAAGTTTATTGTTATAACAATGTAATTATCACGTTATAACAAAGCAATTACATTGTTATAGCATTATAATTACTACATTAAAACATGTTGATTACAATGTTAACACTACAACAATGTAATGACAATGTTATAACATAGTAAGTACAATGTTATAACAACTTGACTACAATTTAACTTTAGTAAAAATGTTATAACAATGTACTTATATTTTTTTAAACTGTAGTTATGCTAAAACATAGTAATAAAGTTATAACATTGTAAGTACATTGTTAAAACATAGTAAGTACATTATTATAACATAGTAATTTGTAATTATAAGTATATTAACATATACATCCACAAATACTGTATATCAAATATACTAAGAAACATTTGCATTAATAAATTACAACATTAAAAACATTGCAATTACATTATTAAAACACAGTCATTATAATGGTATAGCAATGTATTTACAATGTTATAACAATGTATTTACAATGTTAAAACATTACAATTACACTGTTATGACATAGTAATTATAATGTTATAATATTAGAAGTACACTGTTATAACATAGTAAGTACATTGTTAAAACATGCTAGCTATGATATAACAATGTAATTACAATTTTAAAATGGTAATTAAGATGTTAAAACAGTAATTGTTAAAACATTGAAAGTACATTGTTATGACATAGCAAGTGCATTGTTATTTTTTATTATTATAAAAAATTTTGTTTTTTTTTTACAAAAAATCAAAACAGGTCGCACTACAACCATTATCTGCAGTCGCCTATATTATGAGGTCGCATATATTAATTTTCGGGCGCATATGCAATTTCACTAAATGCGGTGAAAATCCTACACGAGGTAAAAGTTTGGTTGTGGTGCTAACATGTTTACGCTCGGTGCTATAGTTAACTTAGTTCAATACGAACAAACTGAATAAACAAAGAGCACTGGACGCTCACTTACCAAATCTGTAGAGACAGGACAATCACCAGCAACTAGAGCCGCGTCGAAGACTACAAGCGAATCCGGATCTCAGCGTTTGCAGATGAGAACAGCTCTCAGGTAAACAATAATCCTCCTTAGACACGCAAGTTATTGTTGTTGAGCGTCGCGTACACTGTTAATCCACACGAGACTCTAAGCTCTCACAGAGAGAAAATGAAAACGAAACTTAACTGCAGCAAACTATAAAAGCAACACTTCACGCTTGTTTTGCCAACACAACGTGGCGTCTCTGTCGTCTAAACACGTTGACACTAATGAATATTAATGAAGTTGCACAATAGAGCGCGCTGATTGGTTTGAACCAAGCCTTACTCATGCATTAATGCATCATACTGTAAGACGTAATAAGACTCACTCTGGCACAGACGTCCAGTCTACACGCTGGAATACAAGCTATTATGTCATGACCGTGACGCAGCTTCAAAAATTCGTTTCAAACCGGAAGTATGAATTTGCTAGAAATAACGCAAAAACAACCAATTTACACTTTTTAGTGAAATATAGGTGTCCTAATAGTGTTTTTAGCAGTGTGGGACACATATACGACTGTCAACAGCTCAAAAAATGTGTTTTGGTGTTTCGTGACCCTTTAACGTTATAGACACACAGCTTTCTGATGCTACCTACTGAGTGCATCTAAGTTACAGAGAAATGCAAAGTTTTTTTTTCTTCTTCCATTCGTAGTGCCGTATCATACATTCCATTAAAGCTACACTGTTCCAGCAGTTCCTCGTATGCAATTTCTCGTTTTTCACAGGGGGCATGCATGAAATGTTCCTGACTGAAAGTGCCAAACGTCTATTTGTTTTGCCTCTATGAAAATCAGCGTGTGCCCAAACCTAAACTCACATTTTCATACAAAATCTTGCCTCCTTCCCTCCCCTGACCACTTTATCAGAGCTGGACACACCCACTTTCCTGACTTTTTCCAAACTAGAGGTGTGAAAACACCCTGCTAAAACAGGGTGGTTTTGTGGCCCTTTAACATTTTTTTTTACATTTAATAAATTCCACCTCGATGAACAGAATTTTCTTTAAAAAAAAAAAGTTTTTTATTAAAAAAAAAAACTGACCCCAACTGAACGGTAGCGTGTGTATATAGGGATGGGCAAAAATACATTGAAATGCATATTAACATACCAAATACCTCAATTTTACATGTATCAAAATAAACTACAGCAGCCATAAATGTATCAAAATAAAATGCTGTATTTTGAAAATACCACAAAATACTTTACAAGAGGGCAAGAAATTTATTCACAAAACCTTCCATCAATAGGCCTATTGGATCAATTCCTTCGCCATTAATCTGACTCAGTCAAGTAAACGTTTGACAGCAACAGCATTTCTCTGAGCAAGTTTAAGTCAGCTTTTCTGCCAACTTATTCACCTCTACTGTACATGAGGAGGTATTCATGAACCTGTATCTCTTTGATTTTAGTATAAATTTTGTACAAATATTATATAGAAAGTCCTGTCTGTTGGAGGTGCTGGAGGCCGATGTTACTGGCTGGTGAGCAGAAGGAGGTGTTGGCGGTTGATATTACTGATGCTGCATCCCAATTCGCATACTATCCGTCCTAAATAGTATTTGAACATAGAATTAGTATTAGTCCCAAATCTTAGTATGTTGAAGAGTAAGCCAAAATTTTCTAGAAGGTTTACTACTTCGGGTAAAAATTTAAGTGTAGAATCGTTCATACTTTAACCGCTGATGTTGTGCACTGGATGTGAATTTGATTGGAACTACAAACGTGGTTGAAAAGTGTAAATTAACTACAAACATGGTGGATGCGAGAGACCAAAAAATGGGTAGAGAAGCTTCGGTAAAGATGTTTGTATGACTGTTAATTAATATCTAGTGGTGAAAATATTTAAATTCCAAATATTTTAATGGCTGCTTCTCCAATAAGGTAGGAAATTAAATGTGAAAGAAATGTGGATGATGTGTGGATGATTGACACAGGGCTCATAACTAAGCAAAACCACGATCTGTTAACGAGGTAGTAGTATATCCCAAAGCTCGCATTTTATTCTGTTACACACTCAAAATTATATATTTTTCCTTCACACAAAAAAGTACATACTTTTACGGCGTAGTAGAAGTCTGCGAATTGGGATGAAGCAATCGTTTTCGCTCTTTCCAATATTTTATCTTTCCAATATTTTAAGATCTAAAGGTCCCTGATAATTTGCCATCATGCAACAACAAGACCACATCTGATTGACAGTGTCTGCTAAAGTGAGTGGAACAGGGGAATCCCAAATGTGGTACTCTTTAACTCGTCTGATTGCACGTTCAACAAGTATGCTGAGGCTGGCAATGGCCTGGATTCTCTCAGTTTCTGCACTGCTAAACTGATCACAGTGCTTGAAAGGGGGGATGATTAATTTTGCCTTAACATCCTCCAACAACTTCTGAATGAGGAAACCTTTATCTGCAATCACCTCGTCACCTGGTTCCAGTAAGCCCAAGATTCCTGACTGCTTTGTCAACTCCTTGTTTGAAATGGAGCTAGCGAACAGCTTTGATATAAATGTGATTGCACCACAGGGTGCCACCCCAATTAAACCCTTGAAGGTGGTATGGGGCTTGTAGGCTGAGAATGTTTCAGAGTGGAGGGTAATTGCCTCTGGGCACTCACATCTTAATTCTGTGCAGTCAATAATGACCCTCACATTTGGGCAGTCCCGCTGAAATTTCACAGGCATTGTCCATCGCACCTGCTCTTTAGTCATCCAGATTTGAATTGATCCCAACACAAAGGATAAATAGTTTGACCATGTTATTACAATGCGATTCACTGTAGAAGTGCTCACTTGAAATATCTCAGCCAAAACTCTCTCTTTAAGACCAACAGCAACACACAGACAAAACATGAAAAACTCATCAATGAGCTGCATCTTGCGCTTAGGGCTTGGTATCACAACCTCCTTCTCTGCAGTTGAATTTCCAATCTTTTCGGCTTTGGACCAGTACTCAATATTGGATGCAGATGGCTCAACAGATCTCCAAAAAACAAAAAAGATGTTTTTGTTTGGAAACCTCGTGAAGTACTTGAAGTCTTCATCAGACACGCACCATCTATCTAGCAGCGCTCGAGAAATGGTAAGGCTTGCGACCAGTTCCTCCAGCTCCTTTATTTTCTCCAGTGCCTCATCAAGAGCACCTAATTAAAAGAGAAAAAAAGTGTATTGTAAAACAGAAAATATTTATTATTGGAAGCTTGGTAGATTACCATTACGGTTTTGTGCAATTAAACAAATCACAACATCACTTTAAATTCTTAATTCAATAATTGTATTGAAACTGTTTATTGCACAACTTAATAACTAATTATCTTTGCTTTCCCCCATCAGTGTACATGAATATTCCATAACATTCAGCAAATTTTGCATGTCTCCTTAAATCAGCTGTCCACACCAATTTGGCAATTCTGTCATAATTTACTAATTTACATAATTTAATCTGTTACCCTCAAGCTGTTTCAAGCCTGTAATCATTTATTTATTCGTCTGTTCACTTCAAAAGAGTTGGGTCATTTGAATGTCAGCAGGTTAAACAAATAGACACAGAACACAAATTTACTACTAAACTTGATGAAATACTGACATTCTTTCAAAAATGCCTTTGTGAACAAACTGGGTCTGAGTAAATAATGACAACTCTAATTTTGTACTGTCCCTTTAAACAAAAATAACATTAAATGATTCAGGTAGTTAAATCATAAGAGAATAGTGTTTTGGAAAAAATGCCAGAAATGGGGAATTTTGGGTAGTTTAAACCAGAACTGATGATAATAATTAAGTTATAAGTGGGAATAAAATGTACTGTTCGTATGAACAGTATTTTATGCCACTGGCCAGTCCTCTGGATCAGAGAGTACTATCGAGCACCTCTGTAGATGTTACTCTCTGGTTTAGGAAAGGCTTTCCTCTCCACATCAGCCATCAGTCCCCAGTGTAAGAGTTTTCTCATCAGCAGGCGACATTGTAAACATGCAAAGACCTTAACTTGTCCCAGGAAGTTTTTAAAAAAGCAATTTACTTCTGGCAAAAAAATATTTTATAGTACATTTCATTTATTTATTTTTTGCAAAAGTATCAACAAAAATGAGCAGCATTTAGGGAAAAAATAAAAGGGCACTTTATCTTAAATATGTTTCATAAAACTTTGATAACAAGTCGTGACTAAATCGTGAGATTAGAATCGGGTCCAATCGTGAGTTGTTAACTTGCATTCCGAGTACACAACATAACTATGCTCGTACTTGCATATAGCTAACATATATACTTTGTTTAATTAACAGTTAATTGCAGTGATATCTTTGTTGACAGTGGTCTCTTTTATTTATTGTACTGTATTTACGTGCTGCACTCACCCGGAGGAGGGCGGCTGTTGTAATCGTGCTCCTGCCCAGGCAGCGCCACATCAACACACTCCATTTCAACGGGTTCCTCCTCCTGCTTATAACAGACTGTACTTTCTGCCGTCCTGGTCTGGTGTGATTTAACTTCTCCCCAGTTGTTCCATGAAAACCGGGAAGGCACCGCCTGTGGTGTAAGAAATTTACGGCCGGACTGTGGATGGACGCGAACTTCATCCTCCGTGAAATGCATCGCGCACACAAAACTGCTGCCCTTCCTCACAGTAAATTCCACCCCCTCATCTCTCCGAATAGCGCAAAGCCAACGCCTCTTAATACTTTCATCGCTTGGAAAGCTATGAAACGACAAATACGGCTGTTTCTTTTTCGAATTAGAACAAAAAGGTACACTGCAAGACTGGCTGCTCTTTGTCTCCGCCATTGCACTTTGCTTCTAACGGAACAAAGTTTTCCCTACTTCCGGTATTGGTCGCCATTTTGTAAAATACCCGTATAGCCGTAGATATATACACTAGATAGGGACCCTGAGCATACGTCAATGGCGCCGCCACATTGGTACAGTGCTCCCAAGACAAATATCAGTCAACCGCACCACTAGTCAAGACATGTGTTACTACGTGAAGATGCTGGATTATAGCGCTGTCCAGTAACGAGCAAACAAAGAAAACAAAGCACAAAGGAAGAACATTTCATTGGTAAGATTTAGTTTTTAATGTTTTTGTATGTCACGAACTTTAGTGCTCAACAGGTAACGTTATTGATATACAGTCAATTACTGCATTCACCATAAGGCAGAGCAGAAACTCGCACTAAACACTCGGCTTATGCTAGTTTTGTTGAACAAAATCAGCAAACAATGCAAAAGAAATATGACAACAAGGTGCTGCAGTGCCAGAATGAGCACTTCTTCAGTCAGCTTATGAAGAAGTCCTTCATAACGGAGATTCATTCACAAACGAATCGCTCCCTCCGTCAGTATAAGAAGTAAAAGCAGGAGAGGAGGTGTGTTTCAGGACATGATTAGATCAGATTTAACAGGGAGGGTGGATATTACATTTAAATACACACAAACTCAAGCTTTTTGTCAGGAATGTAAAATTAACGTTATAATTTTCGTAATTAAAAATAATTGCACCCTGACATCTGGAAAAACCCCCGATCGTAGATATATGTGTATATGTGTATGTCTCTAGCTCTGGATGACCACAGTCCTCCACTGCAGCTTGGTCCCGCATTCATTTCAAAGGTGCGCTACCCTGTACTAAAACGGCGGCTCTATTGACGCATTCCTTCCATTAGACAACAACAGGGTAGGCGCCATCTAATGTAAATATATCTATGCCGTATAGCGAACTCAACATGCATAATTAACTTAAATAATTGTAAAAAAAAATGTGAAAATCAATTATTTTTATGAACGTTATCTTAATAAATGGTGCAGAAAAAAGACTAAGGAATACAGGAACTTTGGTAATAGGTTGTTTGCAGTCACGTGGTTCTGGTGACGCGCAACATTCAGATGGGGGCAGGAAGTAAACTGAATGGGAGACTGTTGTCTGATAGTGAAAAGGTTGAATTTACCCATTATCAAAATAAATTAGATGAAATCTATCAGAAAAAAACAGAGGGAGCATTTATTAGATCACGGAAAAGATGGTTGGAAGAAGGTGAGCAGAATTCTTCTCATTTTTTTAGATTGGAAAAGCAACAACAGCAAAAAAATCTAATTGAAAAACTTATAATTAATAAATCAATATGTGAAGATCAGAAGACTATTGCTAATTTTTGTACTAAGTTTTATAATGATTTGTACACCTCTAAATTTAATAAACAAAATGCTTTAGATTTTTTCGAAACATTATCTTGTGTAAAAAAATTGGAGAATGCTGATCAGGCTTTTTCTGAGGCTCCAATCACATTAACAGAAGTTGAAGAAGCAATTAAATCATTAAAACGGAATAAATCTCCTGACACTGATGGTTTCATTTCAGAATTTTACCATATGTTTAGTAAAAATATTGCTCCCTTCTTGTTAAGTGTTTATAAGGAAAGTACAGATAACTCTTTTCTCCCACCCACTTTATGCCAAGGTTTGATTACGCTAATCCCCAAACCACATAAAGATCGACATTTATTAGATAATTGGCGTCCAATAACTTTGTTGAACAACGACTACAAAATAATTGCTATAGTTTTAGCTAAAAGATTAAAAGTCATTTTACCTTCTATTATTGATGAAACTCAGTCAGGCTTTATGCCAAATAGACATATATCTAATAACATAAGATTAATTTGAGATATCCTAGACTATTCTGATATGATTGATGGAGACAGTTTCATATTTTTTTTGGATTATTATAAAGCCTTTGACACTTTAGAACATGGTTTTTTATTTCAAGCGCTTAAAGAAATTGGGTTTGGTGTTACTTTTTGTAAAATGATTAAAATGTTATATAAAAACATTAGTAGCTCTATTAAATTAAGCAGTGGTACTTTTCCAAGATTTTTTTTACATCGTGGAGTAAGGCAGGGATGCCCAGTATCACCTTATTTGTTTTTAATTGCAGTACAGTTTCTTAATTTACATATCAAAAGGAGTAATTTAAAAGGAATTACTATTGGAAGTACAGAGTTGATTATAAGTCAACTAGCAGATGACACAACATTGTTTTTAAAAGATTCATCTCAAGTGGCGGCTGCATTAAATACTCTACAAACATTTTCCAATGCATCTGGTTTAAATCTTAATTTAAATAAATGTGAATTACTTCCCATTAAAAATTGTGGTGTTTCCTCAATTTGTGGAGTAGCTGTTAAAAACTCAGTATCTTACCTTGGCATAAATATAACTAACGATAAAGATAGATGTGATGCTAACTTTAATCCAGTTGTTGCAAAAACTAAAAGAAAATTGAATAGTTGGCTTCAAAGAGATCTGTCTATTAAAGGAAGAATTTTGCTCACCAAAGCAGAGGGCCTGTCTCGTCTTTCTTATGCAGCTCAATCTCTGTACGTAGATAAGCCTACATGCAAACTAATTGATAAAACTTTAACAGACTTTGTCTGGAAAAATAAATGCCACTATATGAAAAAGACTGTTATAATAAATTCGTATAATAAAGGAGGTCTTAACTGTATTGATTTCTGCTCTTCAAATTATACTTTCAAAATTAATTGGCTTAACCAGTATCTACATAAAGAAGACTCAATTTGGAATATTTTCCCAAAACAGGTATTTTCTGTTGTTGGAGGCATTAAGTTCTTATTGATGTGTAATTATAATATAACCAAAATTCCTGTGAAACTTTCAAATTTCCATCAACAAGTACTTCTGGCCTGGACTTTAATTTATAAACATAATTTTACTCCACACACATTTTCTATTTGGAATAACCAAAATATTTTATATAAAAATAAATCTTTGTTTTTCAGTGATTGGTTTAACAATGGTTTGCTTTTAGTTAGTCAGTTATTTAACAACAGAGGTTTTTTAATGAATTACTTTGAATTTATTTCCGCGTATAACATACCAGTAAGTCCAAAAAATTTCGCCATTGTTATGGGAGCTATAACATCAGGAATTACTATGCTCTTTAGAAGTAGCATTCATCTCACTCCTAAAAAAGTGTCCCTTTCTGATCCGACAGAAACATTTGTGGGTAAAATTTGTTTTTCAAACAAAAAAGATAGAAATTACAAAATTAGATCTCTTTTTATTGAAAAAGTTGCTACATTGTCCCCTGTAATCTCTTATTGGAATAATATCTATAGAGATTTGATATGGGAAAAATTAGGGTCTTTGCAACAAAAATATTTTCTCACCAACAAAGTCAAAGAGGTGTCTTTTAAATTGATCAACAAATTTTATCCTATAAAACAATTTTTGAAAAAGTTTAATTCTAATATTGATGTAAAATGTTCATTTTGTCAATTTCATACTGAAACTGTTTTTCATTTATTTTGGGAGTGTAATTATGCTGTACAATTTTGGAAACATATTGGATTATTTATTAATTATAATATACAACAAGATGTTTCTGTTACTTTTAAAGAATTTTTTTTTTTTTGGTTTTTATGAATCTGCCCCTACTAAGAGAAATGCTTGTTTTGTTATAAATTTAATTTATTTTCTTTGTAAATTCCATATCCACAAATGCAAATTTACTAATACTAAACCATATTTTCCTGTGTTTTTGCAAGAATTTAGTCATTATATACAATTAATTTAATTATCTAAAAATAAGAAAGCAAACAGAACTTTTTCATTTTGTAATGACTTTAATTTATGTACTGTTGTTGATTCTTAAATGTCTTACCCTCAAGTTTATATCATGTTCTTTATTCTTTTTTTTCTGTCTTTCTCTCTCGTATCTCTTTTTCATTGACAATGTAATTCATATTCTGCATTGTAAACAAATATTGCTACAAACTTGTCAACTGTTTTTTTGCAAAAAAAAAAAAAAAATAAATAAATAAATAAATAAATAAATAAATAAACTGAATGGGACACAGGGGAAGTCCGTATTTTTGCTATTTATACCACATTTCAAAGGATACACACACACACACACACACACACACTAGACTATAGATAATTGCAATAAAAGTGTAGTAGTAATTATATTGCTACTTTAGTACAACACAACTGTAGTGATAAACAAATTATTCAATAGGCTTCAGTTTTCTTCGCTATAATTCTTCGCCAAGCTGGCCTAGTTCCTAGTGAACTGGCCTAGTTCCTTATTTATAAGGGGTCACCTTAGCGGAATTAACTGCCAACTATTTGGCAAATGTTTCACGCAGCAGATAGCCCTCCAGCCTCAACTCAATACTGGGAAACACCAATACTCTTTTTCATTCATGGACACACTCATAGACACTCATACACTATGCAAACTTCTCTTATTAATGTTTTTAGTGGTTCATTAGCGCCATCTACTGGCAGAGAATGATTTAGCATTTATCAGTTTGTAAGACTTTCTTATAATGTAAGACTTTTATAAGAGTTTTTCCAGAAGAAAATATATTATCAGACATACTGTAAAAATGTCCTTGATCTGTTTAACATCATTTGGGAAAGATCTAAAAAAAAAAAAATCAAAAAAGGAAAAAAAAGTCTAATCAAAGGGGGACTATATATATATATATATATATATATATATATATATATATATATATATATATATATATATCACACACACGCACAGTAGAAGTCAGAATAATTGCCCCCTGTTTATTTTTTATTTTCTTAAATTTTTGTTTACGGAGAGATTTTTTTTTCCAGCACATTTCTAAAAATAAAAGTTTTAAAAACTCATCTCTATTAATTGATTTATTTTATCTTTGTCATGATGACAGTAAATAATATTTGACTAGATATTTTTCAAGACACTTCTGTACAGCTTAAATTGACATTTAAAGGCTTAACTAGGTTAATTAGGTTAACCAGGCAGAATTAGGCAAGTTATTGTATA